TCTGCCCATGGGCGATGCAGTACCATGCGACGCGGATGGTCAGCCCGCGGACTGCACTGACTGCTCAGACTCCGCTAACTTGATGGATCCCGACTGTCTATTAGCAGTAATACCAACTGCGGCGCCAGTAGTATCGGAGCCGCCAGCCGACGGAGCCACAACAGCAGGAACCGGAGCAGGAACAGGCACAGACACTACGGCTGCACCCGCTGCTGGCCAGAAGACAAGGACGAAGCGCAAGTGGAAGGTGGTCAGGAAGCCTGGCAAGACTGTCATCAAGAGGCGCAGAAATGGTTCCTCAAAGGCTTTTAGAGGATAAATGATCCATAGATGATAACTGATCTGAGCGACAATCATGGAACGAAATCAACCGAGTTTATTTTACAAATAGGTATAAGAATTGTTAAATTGTGCACATTAAATACATAGAAATCTTCATGCATTCGAATTTGTTTTCTTAGAAAGTTAAGAGGGTAGGTAAGGCATACTCCTGGGCATATCATTTGGGAAATCATAAGATTGTGTGTATATGATGTGAATATTTGTTTGTTTCGGCAAACTTAGAAATTACAAAAGAATGTTTGGCATTATCTCCTATCAATTAGTGCAATAAATGCCGTTGCTTAAAAGTGATCTCTCAGCTGATTGACTGATTGACCTCGGATTCAGCGGCTTATTGTTTTATGACTGGCAATAGAAACTCTGAATTGAATTATAGACTCTCTTTAAGGAAAGACTGTTAAGCTCACAGAGAATGTTGTAGACTGAGGAAATTTTATGTTAGTTAACTGTTAAATTTTTGGGAACTAACTTCAGAAATGTAGCATTTATTGATTATTCCGATATGTCACGATATGCTTGAGAAGTGAAAGGAACAGGGTTGCTCGATATGCCACATAAACATTCTTTGCTTTTGAATTGGGCTAGGACATTAAAAAGGGAATAGAGAGACCATCGATCGAGCCATTTATAAAAACTTGTAGCGTGAGAGATAAACGCTGGAAAAGTTGCTAAAAGGTGCTGCAAACGTATCGATCAGCCCATATGCAGGAGACACCAGTGAAAAGCCAGAGCTGGACCTTAAAGCATGGAATTGTCTACTCTGAGTCGTTCGGCTGATTATAAATTGAAATTAAAAATTGTAATTTCAGTTGTTGTTTAAGATTTTAAATGGGACTTTGAAAAGTTTATTGGGCCATGAAAATCATTTTAATTATGCTCTTTGTTTTACGAGCTTCAAAACAAACTAACGCACAAACATAAGAGCATAAAAACCAAAATCTTTTTGAGGTCAGGCCGCCTATGGGCTGTCACATTATTCGCGCATATCAAGTCAAACAAAACCAAATGAAATTATGCTGGCATCAAACCATAAATTGAATCAAGCTCAGCTCACAGAAATAACAAAGGCAAAACTTTTATTTCATCATTCGATGAATCTAAGTGTGTTTGTGTGTTTTCTTTTTTTTTTGTTTTTTTATATATAACTTTTATGCATGCTTTGATGCCACGTATGAGAATTGTGCTTGTGTTTGTGTTTTTGGCTAGCAGGATAGCAGCTTATGACGTGTGCTGTAAACAGAAAAAAAGAAGAGAAATGCTTAAAATTGAAGCTGACTCCAACACCTCGCAAAGCAGATGCCAAAACAATTGCATTCAAGCGTAAATAAACTTGTGTGTGCGTGTGTCGCTTGTATTCTATCTATCACTCTCCTTCTATTTCGTTGCTTGTTAGATAGTGCGTATGAGTGATTTTTGCCCCCCACTTTTCTGTTGTCTAATGTGCAGTTATTTACTCGACTCTGTTGCTATCTATCTCTCTCTTCATACATTGTGTGTGTGTGTGTGAGTGTGGACTTGAAGTGTTTGTCATTTCTTCCGCACGTTTGACTTTTGGGCATCGTTTAAAGTTGAGCAAAAAAAAAAAAAAGAAATAAAAATCTGTAGCATACTTTTGTGCGTATTAAATTTCCATTAGATACAGACAAAAAGTTTCAGTTTGTTCTACTTATTTGAAAACTTCGAGCTGACCTATCGATGGAATAGCTATTAGCAAGCCCACGAGCAAAGAAGTAAATCGACATTCAGATATTTTGCCCATTAGAGAACTTTTCTTTTTTTTGTTTTTATTTTCGTATGCATTTGACAATTCGTTTAATTAACTTACCCAGCTGTTAATTGTATATGCATATAAATATGTGTACATATATATTTTTTTTTTCCTTCAAAGAGTGCAAATAATTATTAATTTATTGAATTCTGTTAATGTTGCAGCAGCAAAATTAATTGGCAATTAATGTCAACAACAGTCGAAAACGCCAAGCGAGATATAAACTTGCTCGACACGACGGCAGCAGGGGACCGAAAAAAACCTATTTGAAAATGGTCGTGTCTGTTTATTATTGGATATACGCAGATAATGCGAGTGCTGAAAGTGGACAGAGAAATGCTTAATATACCAGCCGTGTGTGAAATACAATTCAATTATATTATAATCAATTTGACGTGCGTTGAAAGGAATGCATTATTGAACTGAGCACATGAAACGTATTTCAATTAACTCCAGCGCTTATGTCGATCCATGTTTCCATCTAATCGAGAGCTGAGCTTCGGTGTATCTACATAATATATGTATATTTATTTAGTATATTTATGTGGAATTCAAGACATAAATCAGAGCAGTCATACAATTTCTAAAGTTTCTGCTCTATTTACACACACACACATACGCATTCAGCAGTTATATGTATAATATTGCACTCGTGTGCCAGAATTAGCCATTAGTCGAAGCCATAAATTCTACGCTCTGCTAAACATATTAAGTGGGCAACTAAGTCCGGCTCTGCTAGCCATAAATATCAATAGGCACTCAATGGAGCTGGGCTGGGGCCTGCTTTGGGCTTTGCTTTTAGCCAAGACAATGTGGCCCATTAAGACTTTTAATCACCATCGTCATGATGTCTATTAGCCAACTGCAGGCAGCTTCTGCGACATGTACATAATAGTAGTGTGAAAATAATAATAAAATAAAATAAATTAATAATAATAATAAACTCCTGCAATCAGCATTCAGTTTGACAGATAGACATAATATAATAATAATTTCAATGCCGGCTTTTTGTGCCCTTTGCCCACTAATCGTGTCTACAGACCAAAATTTGTAAAAAATAAAATAATTAAAAATAATTGTGGGCAACGTTTTTTGTTCTTTCGCCTAAGCAGCAATTTGTTTTCATAATTTTATGTGCTTTATGACCAAGTTTAGGCCTAAAATCAAAATCTTTTATACTTTTAGTTATTTAGTTATTTAGTTATGCGTAAGTTTAAATATTATAATAATAGTAATTTTCCGTAACTCATGGATACAGTGTAAGGCTGAGCTTATTTGAAAGTCTCCCATTGAGGCAGCTTACTTGGCATAAAAAAACTTTTTTATTTGATTTTTCAGCATTTGAGCATATTTCTCTAGAATTTTCACTCAATTGGCTTTCCATACACTTGACCTCATGCAGTTGAGCTGTAATCAAGGCAATAGTCGAGGTGTTGGCAAATATTTTTATTGAATTTGGCAATTTACATTTGCAAAAAAAAAAAAAATAAATAAATAAATAAACAAAATAAATAAATAAAAATAAATATTAAGCGGAAGAAAATTATTCCTGATCGTTCCGTATATAAACTTATGGAAGGAAGTTTTTACATATGACTCTCTATATATTGTTTTGCACTTTAAATGATAAATTTAATATTTTATAGCGTATATTATTGTTTATTTGTTAATATATCTTTTGATTATCATTAATTTTAATTATATTATTTTCATATATTTACACATAATATTTAAGTTAATATATTAAATTTCATGATTTTAAATATCTCATGACTGTATACAAATTTATAATCAATGTTTTTTCTTATAATTTTTATTATATTAAATTCATTTAATTATTTTTTTTATTCAGTTTTCTTTTTTTTCAATTTCTTATTTAATTTTATTACTTTTATATACTATCAAAAATCCAACTTCAATTTAAATAAAATATGGCAATGCTTAAGCCATATTTGCAGATCCGGTTTCGCCAGCCTTAACTTTATTATAAAATAAATAATTAACAATTGGAATGGACAAATTCGCTATATGGATGCCACATCTGTTAAACAAATAAAAAAATTTTGTTTGATTAAAAACATGCTGCTTTATTCAAGTTGACTTCATTTTCACATTGAGGTCTCTCTTATGTACATATATACATACATACTTGTACACTCAGGTATATGGGTTTGCTCAGAGTTGTGTTTGCTTCAGCTGCGCATTCATGTTCAAGTGTACGCATATGAGTCGCATTCAGGGCGCAAATTTATTCATTCCAGCAGACAGGCTGCTCTAATTATGCATGCCATCTTCGTTCGTTCGCAGGTGAGCATGCAGCATGCACCGGCATTGCGGTAGGCTGTGATTTATTTTAAATTTGTCGACTACACCTGGGCGGCACATTTCTTTATGCTCTTTTCCTGCAGTTAAGCTGAAGGGGGGGATCAAATAAAGCCATCAGGATATTTCTGTATCTGTGTGTGTAGATAGCTGCCAATAGGCAGTGGAAGATAGAGAAAGAGTTTGAAAAGCACAAAAATGAGAGGGGGAGCGGTATACAGGAAGAACATTTCAGAAATACATACATATATATAGAGAGAAGAAAATTAGTGAGAGAACTTTTGAAAACTATCAAAGGAGAGAGAGAGAGAGAGAGAGAAATGAAAAATGAAAATTGAAAATATATCTATCTGATATTTTATATGCAACTTTAAAAATACCGATGTATCAATCACAATCACAATCCGTGCAAAAAACAAGAATAATAAGAATATAATAGTAAGAGATAACAGAGAAAAAGAGAGCGAGAGAGAGAGAGAAAGAAGGTAAAATACAGGCAATGGGAGAGAAAGAGAGAGAGAGATATATATATAGAGAAAGAGATAACATATAGTTCTAATGTTAATGCCTTACATTATTGAAGTTATCTTCACAAATATTTTGCTGCTCGCGTTTGCTTCGTACTACCAAAGGAATATCGGTGATTCACCATTGTTCATATCATGAAAAAGAGGAAGGAAGGAAAAGTTTATTAAGCAGGAAGCTCATATTATTATTTATGAACTTTAATTAAATCGAATCTCATAGAAAATGTCTGACTGAATAATTGATTATTATTATCTATATTAACTCTCTAATAAATCCTATGCCAAAGGCTATTCTCAATTCTGCATTAAACTAAATCGCATTACTTCAAGTTGTTCGTTAATTTAGCTGGTAAATGAAATATATCATGAGAAATTTCCATTTTCGAAATGAATAATTAAATCCTTTACGTAGAACGTTGGCTTAAATATTTGTTTGGCTGCACACATACCAATATACATATGTATATGATATAACCTCATATCATTAAGTAATTTGAGAACTCTTCATTATAAAGCCCGAGGAGCTTTCATCGCAGCTCAGTAATTATACAAATGTACAAATGTATTCCAAGGTTGGTTCGAGAGCCTTTCCATTTATTGTGTGCACGGGCATAAATTACGACTGGGGCGTGGCAGCATAAATCATAACACTAAGCAAAAAATAAGTAAAAAAAAAAAAAAGAATAAAATAAACGTAAATAAACAGAAGAAAACAATTTTCACATAAACAACAGAAAGCAATGCCGTCTGAATTTAGGCCGAGCTGCGAGAGTGTTTTTTATGCGTTGCGAGTCTTTGGCTTACTCCTCCTACTCCTGCTCCTCCTGCTCCTTTTCTTTTTTTTTTTCACTGGCAGCAAATAATTTATTAGCTGGACTACTTAGGCCACATGGCCAAAAAGTGTTTGCGTCTCGGTGTAAATCAGTTAAAGTCAATTCTGTGGCAGCGCCCGCCTCCTGCCAGCTGCCTCCTGCTAGCAGCCACCTGGCTGCTGCCACATCATTTGAGCGCAAGTCGATTAGAAAATTTAATTAGGCTCGCAAGACAGCTCAGCATTCACAATTGATTAGGCAACCTAATTGAACCCGCGGCGAGTGTCAGCAAAATCTTAACTCGAGCTGCGATAATGAGCAGCATCAGTAGTATCTCCCTCTCTCTCTCACTCTCTTTCTCTCTCTCTCTGTCTGTTTTATCATCTGTATCGTCTTCATTGTGAGCAGTATGGAAATCAATCAAGCCAACGCCTTCAGGTACAAACTCAATATTCTTGCACAATTCTTCACGCTGTCAGTTTTTTCACTTTTGACGCTTGTCAAAATGAGTTCAGATGTTTGAAGTGCCGACGAGTGGAGGCGGCGTGGGCGTGGGCGTGGTTAATCTCGACCATTTGAGCTCGAGTCGCCTAAAATATGTATATATATATTTCTTTTTTTTGTAAATTGTTGGGCCAACATTCGAGATTGGCCATCGGGCTTAACGGGCATTAACGGGGCATTTGATTGATTAGCTTCTGCTCTCTGGGATTCGGGATTAATAAGACTGGCAGCCAGTCAAGGCTGTTGCAAAAATTGATTTTTTTTAGATTAGATTGCAGCTTTCTGGGGAATGCGGGAATGGAATTCGCGATTGAAATTGTTTGATTGAAGAGCCTTTTGGCCGTTGGAGCTTCCATTTCGTTTTAATTTAAATTTTTAAATTGTTTGGCTTTTTTTTGTTCATTCTGGCTCTTTTTTTCGGCACATTAGGCTGGATTAAAGTTTCGCCGTGTCGACCCTCATTCTGCTCGGTAATTGAGTTATGCAATTAAGCTGGAGAGGCCTCAAAGAAAGCAGCTTGATTTAATTTAAGAATGCGTAACAAAGTGTAGTTAAAATGCCGTTGCCTATTCATAATTTGCCAGCCACGAAAATACCTTAACAAATTGTTTCGAAACACTTTTACGTGCTGGGGGCTCATCCTGTCCAAAGTACGCGTCCGGGTCCGGGTCAAATTTACCTTATCAATCAGGCCGCGTGACGTGAACCAAAAGCTCCCAGAGCTAGAGCCAGGGCCTGAGCGTGGGCAATGGTCCCTACATATTTTGGATGCGCTCAATCAAGCGCCAAGTCCGCAACAGTTTGTAAGACCCATTGAAGTTGGCTTAGCTAAAGTTTCGCCCGTTATTGTAGCTACTATTGTTGTTGTTGTTGTTGTTGTTGTTATTGTTGGTTTTGCTCTGCCCCTTTGGCAGCTTTGTCTTTTGTGTGCTGTCCACCTTTTGACTTTAGCTCCGCAAAGTTTTGTGGCCCCGTTTTGTGGCGCTAATTTGTTGTTGCACGTGGCTCGTCCCAAATGGAGCGCGTCATTAGTTGGCAGCGTTTGCCTGCGCCACTCACAGACTTTGATTCCCCCCACTCCCACAATGCCCCCCCCCACGATTTATTATTAATTGGCCACCGGCAAAAAGTTCGCCTCGCCTACTGGTTGTTGGCCAAGTTGTGCTAGCTACCACGTGTATTTCAATTATTAACACTTGTGCGCCGGCATTTCATTCCACTTAATTGTTTAATATTTTACAGCAATTTCAGGTTGGCACAACTTTCGTTTTGACGTTAATTTTTTTGTTTTCTATTTTTTTTTTTTTTTTTTGCCTAAATACTGACATAAATATCGTCTATTTAATTAAAACTTTTCCTTTCCATTTGCCTCATTGCAGCAAGCGCCGCGCCACACGCTATAATTACGTACTTCTCGGTGTCAACATGATTGACGGTGAGTTTCCATTTGAATAGCTTGTTTAGAAATTACACAATTTTAATGGGCGGAATTGTTAAAGTGCAATTGTTTTCTTTTTTATGAAGGAACAAGTTTTGCAAATATTACGTATACGTAATTTTATTTCGAGTTAAATTCGTTTTTTTTTATAGAATTTATCATCAAAATTTTGTATTTGAATTTTTTTATATTATATAAATTAAAATAGCAAAATTTGGAAATTTTGAATCAATCTCTTTCAACTCAATCAATTGATTTTAATGCATATTATGCTTAAAAAATTTGGATTGATTTTAATTGTTCTTTATTTAATTTGTAAAATGGCAAACAGAAATTTTAATAATTTTTATAGAAGTGCTTTATTAAATTTTTTTCTTTTTCTTTTTTTTTTCAATTAATGTTTATGCGTGAATATACATATGTATATATATTGTGTTTTTCCTTTTTCAATATTAGATACGCCTATTAAATAATATAAACATATTAACTATTTAATTATTTACCTTATGAAAATATTTCTTTATATTTACTTATTGAATAGTACAAAAAAAGTTATTAATATTTATTAATAATAGCTGCTTGTGTTTACCAACTGAATCCAATAAAAACGAATTTAATATTTAACCCGTAATGATGGTAAATCCTTTTAAGTTATGTCAACAAAAAAGGCAAACACACACACGCTCTGTTTTTTTACTCGTATTATAATCAATTGCAAACATTGATTCAATATTTAACTTGAGAGTTTTGGTCAAACTAGAACAATGGCTTTTTAATTGAAAAATGTTTCACACAATGTAAATAAATGATGAAATTGCGCTTTTTAGCGAGCCAATAAAAAAGACCCAAAAGCCTGCATAAAAAATAGATTAAATATTAAAATTAAATTAATGCAATATGCAAATATAATCAATATAAAACATTAAGATTGGCGCGTAAAAAATGCGTTTAATTATTATTAATGCTTGCCCTATTGGAATTTAATTAATTTCGCCAAAAATATTTCAAATAGATGGCATTGTTTTAAATTTTAAATAGTTGCAAACACACGCACACACTGCTGTCTCTTTCTGTGTGTGTGTGTGTGTGGGTGTTAAGGTCTGGCAATAGAATTAAAGCGCTTTACGCTGCGGTCACAAATCGCTTTTAATTGCTGCCGCAGCGGCAACTATTGTTGTTGTTGTTGTTGCCCAACTAGGCATTAAATAACGCTGAAAACAACAACTTGAAAGGCAACAACAGCGGCGAAAATTGCATTGCATTTAAGCGGATTTAGATTTGGTTTTGTGCGCTTTTCCAATTGTATTTGTTTATGCTTTAATTTGGCATTGAATATGCAAGCCGCCAACTGCAATCTGTGCACATGCATGTGCATGCATATACATGCATATATGTATGTATATGTGTGCAGCCACGCCCACACATGCAGACATCAATTGGCTCATGTGAACAGCAGCTGCATTCAGCCCTGGCTTCTGGCTTGACTCTGTCCTCCATTTTGTAGCATACTTTTGTGCTGTTTGCATTTTGTTGCTCTTCGAGGCAGCAGCCGCAGCGACAGCGGCAAAAAGTGCTTTGTAAATACGCAGCCAGTCGCGTCGTGTAGTATTTAAAGAGGCGCAACTGCTGCTCGCAGCCCGCAGCCGGCGGCCCTCGCTCCTCGATCCAGTTGCTGCTGCTTCTATAATTGTGCGTGTGTGTGTGTGCCTGAGTGTGTGTGAGCTGTTTGTATAGCAGCGTCTTTTTATGAACTTGTTAACAATCTAACGACCTTTTCTGCTTTGCCCCTAAGCCCCTGTTGCCCCGTTATTGCCATTTCTGCTGCTGCTGTTGTGTGGTTGGCAACGTTTATTCTAACCGAGCGAATCATATGTTTGCGCATAACAAATATTTGCATACTTTTGGGCTGCTTATAAAAATAACATAATTTGATTTTGAGCAGAGGATGTGCAAATGTGATTTGTGCATATGTCAAAAGACGGGCACTCTTCTCTCTCTCTCTCTCTCTCTCTCTCTCTCTCTCTCTCTCTCTCTTTCTCTGTGAGTGTAAATAGCTCTCAGTCAAGTGCTCAACAGATTTTTGATTATGCACAACATATAGAGATATCTGTTAAGCAACATCCAATACATATATCAATTCAATACTTCAAATTCGACTTCAATACAAATTTCTAGAGGCCTGAAACTAGTTCTGGCAAATGCAAATCAGTTGGAGAGTTGACAATGCTTCGGTTTTGAATTTGAATTTGCTTTAATGTAGCGCTCCAGTTCGAGTGTGTGTGTGTGTATGTGTGTGTGTGTGCTAAACGAATATGGCACGAGTGTATTGGTCAAGCAGCGAGCAACTAAAAGCGTGCAACATACAAAAAGGCAAGCAGAAACAACATTTTCCGGCTGCCTGTTTAAAACTTGGGACTTGACTGGCAACAACAACAATAACAACAACAAGAACAACAGAGAGTTCATTAATTATTCATAGTGTTCAGCAGCAAAGTGTTTATGTGGCAAACGCTGCCCACAAAATGAACAGCATTCGGGCAAGGACACACAGCAAAGGGACCAGCAACAACCTGGCACACAAAACAGCAAAAGAATAGAGCAGGAGTGGGAGCAGCAGCAGCAGCAGGAGTGGGAGCAGCAGCAGCAGGAGTGGTAGCAGACAGGACAAACAAAATTATGCAAATTCAACTTTTTTTCTCAACATAAAAATAAACTAGCTGCCGAAAAGCAGAGGCACAAACTGTCCCCTGCTCCCCAGCCAGCCCCTGCTGCCGTCCCTTTGCCTGCTCCTCCTCCTGCTATAGAAAATTGACAATATTGTTAACAGCTTCTTTTAGAGCGCAGCTGATTAGATCGAAGTCGAGCAGTCGCCCCAATCGCCTGGCCACGCCCACTGCTCGCCATTGCGAGCGGGACAGTAACAAATCCTTACGTGCTAAACGCACATTCGACAAACAGAACTGAATTTGCTTTGCCTTCTGCCTTGTCAATTGCCATTTGTAAACATTGGGCTGCCTGTTAATGGTCAAATTTTAAAGGCTTCGTTTTTCTGTTTTTTAGACCCAAGCCACACGTACCCGAGCTATACATGAGTGTGCCTGTGTGTGTGCGTGTGTATTCATATGCTTGTGCCTGTGTGTGTGTGTATGCGGCTTTTGTGCAAATCGTTATTGAATGCCCAAAATTTCGAATTGCACCCATGGCGACAGTTTGTGTGTTTTGTCTGTAAATGTACAACGCCCGAGCGAGTGTATGTGTGTGTGTGTGTGTGTGTGGCTGGCCGTTGATGATTTGTTTTGTGATTTGAATGCAGCAAAAGGATTTTAGTTGGTGTCCAGCACTTGCGTCCATCTAAGTGCCAATCGGGGAGTAATCTTTAGTGCGCCCTCTGATGGATATGTTCAAATTATACTCAAACGCCCTCTGCTCACTTGATGGCACCAATTGAGTGCTTCCAGAGAGACGAGTTACATTTAGGTGGAAGCAAATAAACGATATTTAAATTTATTTTGTATGTATATGGGACAGATAAATCTAAAATAAAAACCTATCTCTTTTATAAATTAAGTGTTCTATATTACACAGGGTACTCCAGCTTCCATTTTGTAAGCTTAATCTCTATAAATTTTGCCAATTTAGGTGATTTATCTGTTACAGCTGAATTTTCATATATTTTATAATAAAAATCAATATAACATATATACATAAATAAATACATTACAAATATAATTTTAAGATATTCTATTGTTGTTTAATAAAAAAGAGTCCTTTTTTAATATTATTATTATTTTATATAAATAAATATTAACCTTTATTATTATTTTATATAAATATATATTTACCTTATATTCCTACACGTAAATTTTATTAATTTTCATTTGCTATAGTATTTAAAATATTTTCAAATTTTATTTTAATTGAAAAACTTAAAAATATATATAATGAATACAAAAATACGTACTTAAATATTTATTTAGTTATAATATACTATAATATAAAAATATGTTTCAGGATATAATATAAAAAACTATATAACATAAATATTATAATATAATATAATATAATATAATATAATATAATATAATATAATATAAT